GACATCAGCAGGGCTAACAGTCCTTGGCAGCTTTGCGTCCCTACCTGCTAATCCCACATTCTCTTCCCTCATCTCTCTCATTTGGTCCCCTGCATCCCTCCAATGCTCACTCCAGTCTCCCGTTGTCTCTGCTCCCTCGCTATTACTCACTTTACGCCCTTTCATCACCCCTGTCCCAACATGTCCTATTTTTCTACCACTTACTATCAGTTTGCTTCTAGTCTTCCCTTGATTCTTTAGTCTCTCAGCACTTCCCTTGTGTTTATTTTTTTCATGGGGTTGATGTAGATTTGCACTAGTCACCCCTCACCAGAAACACACCTGCTGTTTTCAGCATTAATAATCATGTTTGACAACAGGCTGGAGTCTCTAAAACAGCCGTCGGCATGCTGGGAAACAGAGTGCTGGTTTAGCTTTGTTTAAGATGCTTGTGTTTGCAGGCTTTGGCTGGGGTCAGAGCATTTTGTTTCAACTAAGGTCTACTTATTAAAGTTTAAAATAGTCTTACGCAAACCATCAATTAAATTGGAGTTTGGAAATGAGGAAGCCTAATATGGAGGTGATTCTGGTACCTTAGATATAAGATATGAATCCCAACTAAAAGATAATTAAGTGAAACCCTTTTATGTATGTAAAATAAACTAAACTAAAATTAAATAAATAAATACACACATGCATAACTAAACAAACAAACAAATGGGCTTTTTTGGACTGGAGAAAAAATGCTTTGCATTCTGAAAATGACTGCATGTTTATTTAGTACCTCAAGCTGTTTGATCTCAAAGACCAAGACAACATTTATACAGAAAGATGTACAGCATGTTACTAGAAAATAATGTATATGATTAAACATTTATTTAATTATTTATTTATTTATCTACATATATTTAGTAGAAAACAAACTAGCATAAAAAAAAATAAAACAATAAAATAAGAACATTTTGTACTGGAGAAAAATGTCTTTTTTAAACCCTTTTTTTGTGGAATACTACAAACATATATTTGGTAGAAAAGAAACCAGCATTAAAAAAAAAAAAAAAAAAATGAATGAAATAATAAAATAAAACAAACAAAACAAAACAAAACAAAATAAAATAAAAATAAACATTGTCTCACAAGTCTTTGCTTTATCTAGACACACCGATGTAAGAGAAAGTAAAGTCATAATGGAAAGAATGATTGTACGAGGTTGATAGGTAAATGGGAAAATGGGAAGCACAAACATTAAAGGGGTCCTATTATGCTTTTTCACTTTTTCAACTTTAATTAGCCTGTAATGTTGCTGTTTGAGCATAAAAAAGATCTGCAAAGTTACAAAGCTCAGAGTCCATTTCATTTAACAGAAATCACTTTTCAAAAACTACGAACGACTCGTTTGGACTACAACTCATATTTTCCGGGATTTGTGATATCACAAGTATCGACGAATGGGATGAGACCTGGTTGAGCTGCACTAGAGAAGGCAACGAGTGTTATCACTATGTCAGAGACACGTTAGCTTTCCCAAGGCAGATGAACTTAGAGTGGTTACAATCATCCGGGTTTAAATGGCGCTCAAATTGATTTGATTTTGACGCAATATTTACACTGAAGCTCGCAGGCGGCTATGGTAAGGGACGTGACATTTCCCGACCAGGCGTCGAGTGGTGCCAATCACAACTCACACTGGCCTAGCTAACCAATCACAGCACATTTCGTATTTCAGAAGGCGGGCTTTCATTTGATACAGGAACTATTCGAGCCGTTCATGCCAGACTGGGGAGAGAGGTGTTGTAATAATGTAAAATATGTGAAAAATAATGTGTTTTTCTAACAACCTAGTATGAGAGCCTGTTCTAGTACACCCCCGAAACAAAATCAAGACTTTGTAAAAGAGCATAATAGGACCCCTTTAAACTGTAAAAATACTGAAAGCACAAAACATATACTTGAGCTTAACAAAAAATAAAAAAATAAATAAAAAATAAAAAAAGCTGTGCAAATTGTCCAACAATAATTAAAATTCTAATGTGTGGCCAAACTTTGTGTCTTTATCATTGAAGAAGAACAAGTTTCACGCTGACAGACTCCCGTGTGAAAATAGATGACCGCGTTCTAATCCTCTCTGGAGCATTTTTACTTTCTCACACATCTGTTTGTTTTAATCCTTCTTTCCACTTCAATAATCACAGAGCAAATGCTTTTAATCATTAACCCGACTAACAAGCCGCACTATTTATCTACGGCTGCCGAGTCCGACAGACCAAACAGAGGAGGAGAGCACTTAAAGATGAAGACTCTCCGCTGCTAAAGAACGAGTCTCAGTTTGGGGATGTTGGACTAAAACGCTCTAAAAATAAATCGATCTTGTCCTCTCGTACACTAATTGGCTGATACTCTCCATTGTTTCAGCATTTCTCAGAGTGCATAAGGCGTCGCAGTATACAAACACGCCGTACGTGTGAAGCGCTCAGACTTAGAGAGCCATTCATTTCACAGTGAGAGAAAGAAAAACAGATCACAAAAGCTAATCATCAGGTATGTCGCTTAAATTACCATTAGAGGAAAACACAGACACCTGCAGTCCACGCAGAGACGGAGAGCCTCATTTATGCTATTATGAACACAAAATTACATTTGCATAGTGAAATTAAAATGGATTTTGCAGGGGGGATATTGGCTCACGCAGCTCCTTATTGAACCATTATCATATATTAACACTATAGGTTATTAACTACTGCGGCTGGCTTCGTAATGAAGTGCTTTTGTTACTTTGTGTCGATACAGGAACAGTTAAACATTATTTGAGGGTGAAAACTGTTTGAAATTAAACTTTTACTTGGCTGAAATGGGGAAAATATCACTTGGATTTTGACAAAAACACTAGGATGGGGGGAAAACATGAATATACTATAGTTTATGGCAAAAATAGCAAACATTACTTCAATACATTTGGTAACACAAAAAGTATAATGGTTCTTCAACATTCAAATACCATGTTTTTAGACATGCACTATGGTCATATCATTGAAGCATCATGAATTGCAATGTTATATATCATTCAGTACCATGGTATTATCATCTGTTCCATCACTGTCCCATGGTTTTGGACAACTTTAAAGGCGATTTTCTCAATATTTAGATTGTTTTGCACCCTCAGATTCCAGATCTTCAAATACTTGTATCTCAGCCAAATGTTGTCCTCTCCTAATGAAGCAAACTTCAATGGAAAGTTTCAGATGATGTATAAATCTCAATTTTGAAAAATTGATACTTAAGACTGGTTTTGTGGTCCAGGGTCACATATGTAATCTGACACGCTCATGATAATTCCCTGAAGTATTCCACCAAAATAAAAGCCTCTATGCTTCAGCGTTTGAAAGCAAAGAAAACAAACAACCATAAATATTACTATTGCAATATAATAATAATAATAATAATAATAATTGTATTGTTATAAATTAAAATTATTATTATTAAATACTTTACTAATAGTAATAATAGTATTATAATGATTTTATTAATCTGATTAAATAATAGTAATAATAAAAAATTGTAACAACAACAACAATAATAATAAACACTAAACAATGAACAAAGTCCTGTTTTTTGTTTTGTTTAGCACAAAGTCATTCAAGGCTTGTGTATTTATTTACTTATGTATGGTAATTTGAAAATGGGTGCAAAATACAATTCTAAAGGTGTTTAATATTTTAATACAGTATGTATGCCATGTAAATGATGTTGAAATAATCAAAATCTATTATTATTATTATTATTATTATTAAATACTTTACAGTTCAATTCGTTATTATTATTTTTTTTTCCAGCTGATCTGAATGCCACATTTGGCTGGATTTGTGGAGGAATAAGAATTGTTATAAACACGTTATAGACACAAGTTTATAGCAGAAAAAGAGAACAAAGTAGGCAAGTTAAAACCGATGTAAAACAAATACACCTTGCACTTCCATTTTTTGTTGTCTTTTATCACACTGGCCATATTTAAATCTGGGTTGAAGACATATTTATTTCTCCACAGCCTATGATGTTTTTGGGATGTATAGGGGTTTTATTTGCATGTTTTATAATGTCTTATGAGTTTGTTTTTTGCTAATTCTATTTAATTTCTTGATTGTAGCACTTTGGTACAACATTTGTTGTTTTTAAATGTGCTTTATAAATACACTTTTTTTTTTTTTAGATCTTTAAAAATATATTAACACACAACTAATTCAATGTAATTCAATGTCAGTTTTTCTTTGCTTGTTGCTGTTTTCTGCATGTCATGGTCTTTTCGACAAGGACTAAACTTGGAATAATCTAAAAAGTTAACCTCTAAAATGACCAACTTACCCAATTAGCATTGGGTGCCCAGCGGCGTTTAATCTGCTCTCAAATCCTCTGAACTCGAACACTGACCTGCGCTAAAATCTTGGCTGACAGCGTCCTCATTTATCTCCATCTCATTCGGCCGTCCTCTGGAGTCGTTTTTGTTGTGCCATGCTCATTTAGTCCTCTACTTAGAGGACGATGACAACCGAGTTCCTTTTATAAACCACCGCAGCAAGTGCAGCTAATTATTCATGAGAGGTTGACAATGTGGCTTAACCTCCTCTAAACGCTGGATAAAAACTAAGCCATGTCGAGTTCCACTTTAGCAAAAACTTTTTTTCTGTTTCCATTTGCATTTAATCCTCTCCAAATTAAAGGTTGTTTTTGGCGTTGTGTGCATGGTTAGCGCTTCGATACACGCGGCTAATTCTTCACATGACATGCCGTGGTATTATAAAGTGTGCTACCTGTCATAAAGAAGGGCTTTTCGTTTTAATACATTTAATTAATAGTTGCACCTCTGTGAGACGCGACCGAAACCTCATATGGATAAACAGATATATTAGCATGCTTGGTTCATTTACAAACTTATTACATCTCAATTAGCATGTCTTGGCTATGCGGGGATGATTGCTCTCTGGTCCCATTGCAGCAGCTGCCTGGGGACACGAAAGCCCAACACTCACGGTGACATATTCATTCTCGTTCCTGTCTTGGAGCTCCACAGTTAGTCTCTGTCTTGCAAACTCAGAGCTGAAAAAAGAGCAGTGAACCAGCCGAATTTAGACTAGGTCACGGTCTCGGTCATGACCTGAGCAACGGTTCACTTTAAGCTGCAAAAATGTCCTGTTAAAGCAGTGATATATTGCATAAGACCGGCAGGACTTGAGTATACAGCATGTTATACAACAGCATCGCTGAGTTATTGATGCTGATTGCTTGGCACAAGTTCAAAGGGTATTGTATTGATTATTTTTCTGGAACTGGGGTACGTTTAATGAAGAGGCTAAAAAACTCAACAATGGTAAGTGAAATGCGGTTCTTAAAGTGATAGTTCATCTAAAAATGAGACATTTCTGAACATGTATTCACCCACAGACCATCCAAGATGTATGAGTTTGTTTCTTCATCTGAATAGTTTTGAGAAATGTAGCATTACATCACTTGCTCACCGATGTTTATTACATTTGGAAGAGAAACTAAATCAGAAATAAATAAGAAAGAACTTCAGAAAAGATTTTAAATTGAATGTGATTTAGTATCACGTTTAGCATTTAATACGATTTTACTACAGCAACAATAACTGTAGTTACTATACGGAAATGTGTTCAAAACTATACCATGGTAAAATTTTGTTATTAGACAAACAAACAAAAAAACAAACACACACACCAGAATGGGTAACAAGGTTGAAAATTCAGCTTAAATTAAGCTGTCACTAATACGTGCTAATTTGACATGTAGTAATTGACAGACTCTCATTGTTTCAAACCAACTGAACTTCAGGAAATCTGTATGACATACCATACTAAAATAAACAACAACTGAAGAGTTTGCAATCTCAAAACTGAGCTGTGAACCAGGTCACAGTCTAGGACATTTTCTGCTGAACTGGGTGAAAATTCCTGCAAAAGCCATGTGACAAGCTGCATAAAATGGGCCATCACTTTCATAAATACAACCATATATACAATAACATGTTTTGAATCTAAATGAAAATTTGTGTACATCAGTTTGTGAGAAACTTACCTTGCTTTACTGGTAGAAAGCTGGAACATGCACTGAACACAATGCATGGTCTCATGACGCATCTAAGACAAGTGACAGGTGACTCTCCAGCACATCCATTAAAGTGCAAAATATAAGCGGTTTTTGAAAATTAACTTTGGGCTTTGTTCTAATTATTATTTATTTTATGTCTGAAAAGTTGGAAAGGGACACAAGGGTTATAAAAGACCCCAATTACAAGACTGCTGATCAAATTCAATCATTATGTATATTAATTAATTCTCCAGGCTTGTGCAATATAAATTTTATGCTCTCAATCCACTTGATTTGGCAGCTTTGCATTCCATTAGCATCTATTTCCAACAACTACGATTCATTCTTAATTACCCAGTTATGCATTCATTCTTTCCTCGCTTTGCTTTGTTGTTTTTAAATGAAGCACAACAGTAGTGCTGGGAGGTATGACCAGTGTAATGGACAAAACAAAACAAAACAAAACAAAAACAAAAACAAAAACAGTAAATTACATCCAGGGGGCTGTTTCATAAAACTAATTTACCAAATAAGCCAGGCTTATTTCAGTTATTTTTAAAGTCAGGTTTTGGACTTTAATCCAATCTTTTCTTAGCGTCTTTTATGAAACAACGGCAAACGTCTTTTATTAAGTTTAAGATATAAATGCTGCTTTGGAAAACAGCCATAGCTCCATCGTAAAATAATGTGCTGAACAACAGAATTTAAGATTATGGGAAAACGCTATGCATTTCCTTGAGTATCGATGCACTGTGAATCCACTGATTCAGCGTTTTAGCCACACTATCCGAACTATTTAGCCGAACTATTTTTTTCAACCTCTCAAGAGCCTTCCAAAGGAGTTTATCAATAGTGTACTAGCAAGTGTCCATGTTCCCACCCCGTCCTACTGACAATACTCTATCCAGTTTCCTTGAAAGCATCTTTGACAATTGCTTTCTTTCTGAAAGGAGCTCTCTTCCCAAGAGTGCAGCTGATCAGTTGAAGACGGCCTCAGGTGGGCAGCGTGCCAGTCGTTAACACGCCTGTTTGTCATTCCAGCAGCATCGCCCCATTGATTGCTGAGTCAGGCAGAGGCAGAGCCGTAGCAGTGTATTCGCCATGCTAACATGTGCAGCTCCCACACACACCCACTCAAACACAGTACATAGAGTTCAGATTTGAAGACACACATAGCAACCGTGCAGGGATGCGATACATGTTTTGACACTCGAAAGACGCTAGAAATTATGCTATGCAGATTCATACAGATTTTGCTTTGACCCTTCATATTACAAAGCTGTATGTCCTGAACAATTGCTTAAAGGGAAAGTTCACCCAAAAATATGATTCATTCTAATAAATCATTTACTCACCATATTTCATTTCGAACTCATGATTTTCTTTTTTCAGCAGAATACAAAAGAAGATTTCTGGTAATCATTTCAATTGTTTTCGTCCATATTATGAAAGGCAATAAGGTTCAAAACATTTAAGCTCCAAAAAGGACATTAAAGTTGCATGAAATTAATTCAAGAGACACTGACCACCGTACATAAACACAGAACAAAGGTGACCTATTTAAGTCAATATGAAATACAAATTCACCTTATCTATTTTCTATCATCTTGATCTTATTTTGAACTATTTATTTGTTTGTTTATTTATTTTTATTTTTTATTTGTTTGTCTGCCAATAATTTTTCATCAAAATATCATACCTCCATTTATGCAGGACTTCTCCAGTCATGTTGTCTGCTTAAATTCTGTCTCTTTCTTATAAACGAGAAAAGTTTTCATTTTAGCTGGAAACTGTAGTGGATTTTATGCATAGGTATGTTTTTTTAGAGTTTAGGCAAATGCACATTTTTCTAAGGTTGCCAAAAACCACGACATGCAGAAAATTGCAGGGACACTTGTATTTGCTGATTTAAAGATAAAAAAATATAATATTTGACTTGCCAAAAAATAAACCATTCTCAAAGTACAATGACAACAGTATGTTATTTGATAAATGTAAAACCCAGTTTTTCCTCTGAATTATCTGTTTCCTGTGACCACAAGCTGTTGCATACAAAACAGCCACATGCATATTACATAACACACATCCGCACAGCCAGTCCGAGTGAGATAAACTTGATTATCCCGGCTGAAATTGAACATGCTACATATCACTAGCAGCTGTGGGTGCTTGTCTAAATGGGATGTAATTTAGTCCTCATTACACAATGCAAGCCTTAGGTGCTACGGCAAAGCCTTCATTTCAGTAAATAGGCCAGAGAAATACATTGCACAACGAGGGAAACAGAGTATCTCATTCACTCATTTTCCTCTGCTTCTTTATTGCCTTCTTTCCCTCTCTGTCCTTTCGATGACTCTATTCGCTAAAGCGTCCAGAACTATGTGTCCCCCTCTCTCGGGTGTGATGGCTGAAACGGAACAGTGCACAAGCAAATGTTTGCACTAACAGTGCAAACCCGAGAGACCAGACGTGCAGGAGGCAACTGTGACCGAGTATGTGTGTTTGCCTTTTAAGAGGAAGAGAAGGCAAAGTGGTATGTATGACTGTAGGATAGACAGAACGATAGACTGAATGATAGAACGACATATAAAACAAGAGATAGATAAATTGATAGACAGACAGACAGACAGACAGACAGATAGATAGATAGATAGATAGATAGATATGAAAGAATGACAGACAGACAGACAGACAGATAGATAGATAGATAGATAGATAGATATAGAAAAAATTATAAAATTACAGATAGAATGATAGATAGAACAATAGATAAACCGATACATACAGATAGATAGATAGATAGATAGATAGATGAAAGAATGACAGATAGAACAATAGAACGATAGATAGAACAATAGAACGATACTCAGCTGGTACCTTCCCCACCTACCAGCCACCCCCCGCTCCCCTGCCGTCCCAGAGGCCCCAGGGCGTGTGACTTGAAGGGCCGTTAATTGTCACCAAACACAGCTTTAATCACATTCCCCGGGCCCCCCGCCCTCTGGGGCGTGACTAAACCTCAACCACGCCGTTGACGCGTGCCGTCATTAACACCGGGTCCCATATGCTGCGGACAGTCCCCCCTGTCTCACTCGTCCCCATACCCCCGCCGGCCGCCACACGTTTAATGCTGTCTTGCTGGCAGATTTTTATTGTCCTACCGCTCTGAAGAGAAAAGAGAGAATGTGTGAGTGTGGACGGGTGTGTGAAATAAGGGGGGTGCGAGAAGACTGAATGAGAAGTTGCCATAGCAACGGAGCCACACTGCTCTGCCGCAGTGAAGAAAGGCAGAAAGAGAGAGTTGGAAGAGTGAAAATGAGAATGGAGGGGGGTGTGAAGGAGAACGGTGGAGAGGATTTGACAGAGTCCCTGCAGTTCAGTGAGGAAGCAGGGAAGGAGAGGGCTGGGACATCGAGAGAAGTCAAAGAGGAGACTGAGTGAGAGTGAGTTTGTGTTTGCGTACGTATGATGACAGTTGATGCAGAGGAGGGTCAGTTTGTCAGCAGTTGTGGAAAAACTCTGAGACACCAGCAGTTAAGGGGGAAAAAACCCTTTCCTTCCACTTTTGATTTTTCTGGCTTTTTCGCCGAAACTGATAGTGCTGAATGTCATTGCCGGATGTTCACGTCAATTCATAACATCATCAGAGGCAGAATGAGAAAAGTTACACTTGGTCACTATGTGGCATTTTTACTGTTCTGACAACAATCCATTAAACACAATTATAAACACAATTATAAATATTAACATTATTTATCAATAATGTGGATAGGTTGAGATTCTCAAAGCTGAATGTCACTGCTGGTTGCTTTCATCAATTCCTAAAATCGCCAGGGGGAGAATGTGGAAAGTTACAATTTGTCACTATGTTGAATTTTTACTGTACTGATAACAACAGAATAACAAAAAGACCAAATGTAAATGTCTTCCAATATGCATTCAATAGTAATTCGATCACTCAAATCACTTTCAGAAGATGCAGCTAGACCACATGTAAATGCACCTAGTTGTTCGGGTAACATTTGTAAACGTTTCCCCCAAACCACACATAAGGGAGCAATCATAGATAAGACATGGATGAAGAAAGAAACAATTCTAACATTAGTTGCAATATGGGGTTAACAGAGTGAACAAAATTTTGCTGCTGGCATTGGCGTCATCGCGGACGCTGATATTTGCATATATCATGGGAACTATATATGGGATTTATATTAGTATTGCATTTATATGGCCAAGTGTAAATAAGATGTGCATAAGCAATCGGACAGCAAACTTATTCCAAGGAAAAATATGTTTGTTTGTAATCTTCCAATAAAATGTACTAACTCATTCCACCTCTGAAACATCTTTTTTGTCTCTATGCACATTTCAACCTCTCCTTTACAATAAAGGTCAGTTTACATGATCTAATCCATCCCTAGTGGATGAAGTTGGGCCCAATCCTACATTTTATTTCTCACCGAATATGCTGTATTCTCAGAAAAAAGGGACAAAAGCTGTCACTGGTACGGTACCCATTCAAGGTACATTATTTACCCCTAAGTACCTTAAAAGTACATATTTGTACCTAAAATGTACATATTAGTACCTAAATAGTACTGGTGGATAGACTGACACTCTCCCATGTTACCATGTTTTCACAAACGTGTACATGGTCATTCAGGACAAGGGAATAAATCACACTCCCTGGTATTACTATCTGACACAATTAGAATATCAGCTATGGCTACAGTACTTAGTACTTAGACACTTGCAGCAGTTACTGACAGCCATTTTTTGACACAAATTGTGTGGGTTTGTCGAAATTCATTAAAATTGCTTCAACATTACAATGAAAACAAACCCCGTAACCTTCACAGGAAGGCACAGTTTGCCTAAACGCTGCCAGAATGACACCCGTGAGCGGATTCGTCTGAGCAGCAAAGCCTTGAGAAGGGGAGCAAGGCCTGCTGACAGCTGTCTGGAGACACGAGGGCTTTGTTTACCCAGTTGTGAATATGCATTGCCACTCGAGTGGGTGTACACAGGGATAAAG